TGGCCCCTGACACTACAGATCACACTCAGCAAGAATTAACTAGGTACCCCATCCACACTGCCCATAACCTGCATGAAGGAAATGTTGACATCCTTAGGCCTCATTCGCTGCCTCAGCTTGCCTCGGACATTGTCTTCCTGACAATGTCTTCCCTTCTCTCTCCCAGACCAGATCACAGATGACCAGCAGACCTAGTCAAGCCCCAAGCAGGCCACCCAGGATCTCAGCAGGAGGAGATCAAATCCAGAAAGGAGGACAGATGGAAAGACACAGCATTCCTACAGGCTTAGACAGCAGTAAAGATGCAGTAAAGAAAGCTGTCTACAGTAGTTGGATTGAGACAGCAAAACCTATAAACAACCCACAACCCAAATGCCCATCAATAGGCGGGTGGGTGAACCAACGGTGAGAAATCCATGCAAAGGAATACTACTCAGCAATAAAAAGGAGCGTGCTATTGCTACACATTTCAACACAAATGCCTCTCAACATAATCATGCTGAGTGAAAGAGGCCCAACAGAATAAATTACAGCCGACCCCTGAACAACACGGGTTTGAACTGCACAGGTCCACTTATATATGGATTTTTTTTCAGTAGTAAACTGGAAAATTGTTTGGATATTTGTGACTATTTGAAAAAACACTTTCTTTTCTCTGGCTTGCTTTATGGTGAGAATACAGCATAGAATACATACAACATACAGCGTACATGTTGATTTTCTGTTTATATTGTAGGTAAGGCTCTGGTCAACAGTGGGCTATTACTAATTAAGTTTTGGGTGAGTCAAAAGTTAAATGTGGATTTTCAACTCTGGCCCCCATATTGTTCAAGGGTCAACTGTAGTTCCTTTTATGTGATACTCTAGAAAATGCAAACTGACCCATACCGAGAGGAAACAGGTTGGAGAGAGGCCAGGAGAGAAACTGTGAAGGGGTGTGAGGAAAGTTTTGGGGATGGCGGGTGTTCATTCCCGACTGTGCTCATGGCTTCATGGGTTATATATGTTAAAACTCATCAAATTCTACAATTTAAATAAGTCCCATTTACTGAATATCAATTACACTTCAATTAAACTTTTATTTTAAGCAAGAAAATAACTGGAGGGGAGAAGAGGATATCAAGGGATTAGGTTTGACACAAGCACAGCTTGGGTAGCTATGTTCTTTGAAGTCACTGTGAATGCTGTACGAACAAACACTGAACCACTGGCCCCAACGGAAACAGACTTAGGTTCCTGGGAGCCTCTGGTCCCAACATGTCCCATCCATCAATCAATACTTTCTGTGTTTCTGCTTAAGGACACCTTACTAACACACACTGTTGATCCATCACCACTGAAGTCAACAGCACCATCATCATTCCCAAGAGAACTGACCTAACCCGTGTTTTCTCTGCAGGGCATATTACAGCCTTCTTGTGCTGTGCTCTGGGGCCATTCCCAACCGCAAAATTACCAGCCAAAAGCACAAAAATGTGAAACACATGGCACCAAATGGACTGTAAAAAGGACACTCATTTATAGTCTGCGAGGAGAAACAAGAAGGCAGAGTGGTGCCTCGCTCCTCACCTAGGCACCCACAATCTTCCACTGCCATGTGCATGTCCACAAATGACGCCCCGAGTGCTGATTTCAAGGTTACAAACATATTTTGGCAAGTGCGAAAATTCACAGCTATGGGGTCAGGGGACAATGCAGATGAACTGTGTCTACCTTCTCTGCACCTTGGTGTCCACATCTATACAATGGCGAGAGGTCACATCTCCATCAGAGAGCTGTTTACAAAGGCCAAATGAGCTAAGCCACTGAATCATTTACCACGGCACCTGGCACACATTGAGTACAGTGCCAGCCAGCTGGTGTCACATGCATTACTATTACCTGGCCTCTGTACCAGCTCTTTCCATACAGTGCACCCTGTGCTTACTCCCTCTCCACTGTAGCAGTCCCACCACCCGTGGACAAGGCGAGGACAGGGCCAGGCATCATTTCACCATGTTCCAGGGCATCAGGGCATCACACAGGGCTGCTGCCTGAACTGGGGATGCTGGCATTAGATGCCACAAATTTACCCTAACTCACATGCTAACTGCCATTTGCCTGTGGTGCATTTTGTCCCAGTTTAACTGCTTGAAAACACCAAGCTTCAAGACATAATGCCGGTTACCTTATACTTCAAAACTCTAATACCCAACATTCTCAGAACTCCTAAATACTTAGTATTTTAATATGAATGGAGTTCTCTTGAGAACCAACCAGGAACCACCAATAGGCTCAGATGAGAAAAGCTCGGGAAAGCCTGTCCCCTCCCCCCACCAACAAAGGCCTGGAAAAAAGTGGTCTGTGAGAACCAAAAACCTTTCCTTCAAAACCCGCCCTACTCCAGACAAACACCATTGGCAAAACTGCCCCCACCTCTCCTGGCTTCAGAGGGCAAGCAGAAGCTAATTTTCCACCCTCTGGCAGCCCCTGACTAGGCAGAAGGTGGCCACACTTGGTTCCCCTGGGGTGGTATCTACTGACTGAGGAGCCAATCTTTCTCCCACCTGCAGAAGCAAACACCCAATTTGCCTGCAAGAGTGCCAGTGGGGTGCCACTGGGGAGCTTTGCCTCCACTCCCTCCTGGAATGGGGAAGGGAACAGGAAGGGAGAGAAGGGGGTAGTTGGCATTTCTTCCCCATGCACCCACCTTACAGGGTCCAGAAGGGGTTGAGTCCCCCTTCCACAAGTGATGAGGCTGTGCATGTGTGCCCTGTTCTCAGGCCCCAGAAGGAGCCAAGCCTCCCCCACACTTGGCCACAGGAGATGGTACTCCCGGAAGGTCTGAGGTGGGCAAGGAGGATCTGAACTTCCACCCACATCAACTGCACAGGCACCGAGTGCCAGCGCTCCAGGGGTGTCAGGAGGGCTCGGGGGTAGCTGACACCCACCCTACATGGATCTGTGGCTGCACCTCAGGACACCACCTGCTAAGAAGACAATTAAATGAGATCCAGACTCTCACAACATAAATTCAAGATGTCCAGAATACAAGAGAAGATCATCTGTCATACCAAGAACAAGGACAATCACAACTTGAAGGAAAAAAGACAGTCAACAGATGCCAGCACTGAGATGACTCAGGCCAGAGGGGCCTGGCATTTTAGAGCAGCCATCATAAAAATGCTTCCATGAGAATTACAAACACTCTTGAAACAAACAGCAGCTAAGGAGCTCCGTCTCTCAGCAACTCACAAACAGGGTGGTCACAGATCGATTTTCTTCCTTCCATCTCAGATTTGTGATCTTTAGATTTTTTCTATCAGGCAATAATGTGCTAAGACCCCAACACACAGCAAACAACTCAATCAGGCATTTACTGAGGTATCATGCTGTTGGACTGGGGGCGCTGAGATATGCCATGTGATCCTTGCTTTACAGTACGACCCAGGGAGGGAGGGATGCAGAAGCACGATGGCCATATCAGGGCTGCCAAGGACACAGAAGGTCTGCCAAAAGAGTGTGAGGAGAAACAGGGGAAACAGGGGAAAAGGACAGTGGGGAAGTATAGATGCACAAACACAACAATCAGGGGAGTGTGTTGTCAAGAAGCCAAAAGATGAGAGGACGCCCAGACACACACCAGAGCATGTGAGTTCCGAAAGAGCTGCCCAGGGATCCAAACAGCTGTGTGGCACAATTATGATTTTCTGCCCTTGAAGAGAGGAAGGCAGAAGCCATGGCATGTTTACTTAGATACTGAGAATGCTTTGGTTTAAACTACACTATAAGTCGGAAAGAATGACTGATCAATGAAACCAGGCAGAGAAATGGTTTCTACCCTTAGCCAAGCCCTGTCTTACTAAGTAAATTAAAATAGCTGTGACAGCCGTGCTGGCCCTCCTCTGCCTGCATCTTCAGGGTAGGCAGATCATATGAGTCCAGTGCGAGTTACCCCAAGGACATGCCTGCCTCTGCCGGCTACGGTGTGAGAGCACTCCACCAGAGGCTGGGCTGCAAGGGACACCAAGCTTGGAGATGCCGTGCTCTGACCCAAGTCATCCCTAAAAATTCTCCAGTGATAAAACTAGCAGCAAAAAGTGGGGCCAGTGGCTAAGTCCCCAGAGGGCCCGCAGGCCTGAGGGACACTCAGAGGTCTCTCAGAGATCAACAGCAGGAGAACAGAAATCAGATGATTAAGACCATGTGCACCTTTCTCTCTCTCCCCGCGCCATGATCCCAAAACAAATAAGGCTCCTGAGGCACAGTGAAGGAGAATGTGAGGGGGCTGCCCGATGGCCCACTGGTACCTGCCCTTCCCAGTTTACTGCCCATGGCCTCATCACTCCAGACTTGGCCCCACTTAGGCACAGCCACATCCAGGTGTTGGGTGTCCTGGGCCCAACCACTGAGCCAACTGAAGCCTGTCTGGGCAATAACCACACCCCTAATTAGCCACTAACTGACCTTCTCAGACCTCTTATTTTGTGTTGCAGCATCTTTCTGAAACCCCAGGTGACTGGGTTCCAGCTCACAGATCAACAGAACATGAGTTCTTAACGGAATATCCTGCTATAGACATGTTCTATGTGTGCAGGGACTATGGCCAGCCTGTAGCCCACGATGCCCCAGCACTCAGGGCAGCAGCTGGTACCAAGTGGGTGCTCACCAGAAACTTACAAGTAAGTAGAAAAAAGTCAGGAAAGCGGGAACTAATAAACACATTATATAACATAGTCAAGTTAGCAGAGTCTAACTTGGGGTCAGACTTCCCTGTAATGCAGAGCTTATCAAGGATGCCGGGGAGCCCCTCCATCAGATGAGGAGGATCCACATTCCAGGACGCCCATGGGGAAATGACCTGAGCATGGAGCCCATGGACTTGCAGGGTCCTGCTACCTCCTGACACCATCGGAGCTGTTTCAGGAACTGTGTATGAGGACTGAGGGTGCAGGCTGTAACCACAGAGTAATACAAACTGGCTTTCACAATGTCTAAGACTTTCTCCCTCAGACTCATACCTGAAGTGGCCCATCCTGAGTGCTGTCAGAGTGCACAGGGAGGAAACCAAGGCACCAGGTCCACGGTCCTGCTGTCTCCCAGGCCACCGGCTCATCCAGTGGGTCCTGCGCAGGTGCTGGATGAGAAGGTGTTCAGGTCAAGAACGGGTATTGTGGCTAAAAAGTTTTTGGGAATTCCCTCCTCAGAGCAATCTTTGGGGGTCCAGTCCTTATTCACCAAACCCACTGTCGCTGTGGGGACTCAAACTCATCAATCTGGGGACAGATGGCCATAGACCCCGCTCACCACTCTTGGAGCGTAGGCGAGTACACCCCACATCGTGCCCTTAAGGTCGGCAGACTCCACTGCCTAAGCTGCTGCTCATAATTAAATTTCAAGCCCCAAACAAGAGGATTAACTGTGAAAAGATGTTCATTTCATTGTTGTGTCCTGGCCAAGAGGGCCATGACTGGGCTGCTGGGATGCAGAGGTACCTGGCTCAAGGGAGCTGCACTTGAATGATGAACAGAGAGAGGAAAATGATCACAGGTGTGGGTATCCGATTGTCCCAGAACTTAGGTGGTGCTGGGCAGGGACAGCTCCTGCCCTTTTCAGAGGTGTCTGCTCAACCCTGTGACAGCTTGCCAGAAAAAGACCTCCCAGCAGCCTCGGTTCCACACAGGAACTTGGCCCCATGGATGAGCAAAGGCAGCCCAGGTCAGCAGATGGGCCAAGGGGAGAACCCCTTCTCCCATCCTCCTGACAGCAGCAGCCCAGCCCAATGTCACAGGAGCTGCCTTCCACGAGGAGGAGCACAGGCAGGGGCCCCTGTGCCCTGGGTGCCAGTCACAACCACTAACTCATTCTCCTTGGACGCTTGACTTCGACAGCATCTGGGAAAAGCCAGAGGGAGGATGCACCTGACCCTTCGTACATCTCTGCTGTAGGAACGAAGCTAAAAGGCCTGCCTACAAAAGCAGCCTGTCCCACGAGGAGGGCAATGGGCATGCAAGCAGGTCCTGGTTCGTTGGGCACAGGCCCGCTCACAGGGACACGAGGAGGGCAGAGAGCATGCAAGCAGGTCCTGGTTCACCAGACATGGGCTTGGCTCAGAAGGACTAGGGCTGGAGCAGGAGAAGCTGCAGCTACTCCACACTCCATGCAGAGGACCTTGTCTCTACAAAAGCCACTGACTCCCAGGGTAAAAGTCATACCCCAGAAAAAAAATCAACTGTACTGCTGGCTACCTAGGAAAGACATGAACATTTCCACATGTGCACCTTAGAGAATAATGTGTGCAACAGAATTCAGTACCTACCATAAGACTGACACACAGGGTGCCCTGCTGAATGGACTCATTTGATGCAAAAGAAAAGCATTCTTCAGTGTATCTTTGTGGGCAGCTCAGGAAACCCCGAAATGAGCGACAAGCCACAAATGGAGGCCACAACAAGTAGGAGGGAGAGAAATGGGACAGGGAAGGGTGCTGACATGGAGAGAGCCCAATACCTTCATACCACGGACTGCAGCTCCAACCCTCACCTTCCGTCCACCCCTGGCCTGGGCATCCCTGACCCCAGGGCCCCGGATCACAGAATGTGACAGTATTTGGAGACAGGGTCTTTAAAGAGGTAATTAAGTTAAACTGAGGGCATAATGGTGAGCCCTAACCAAATATAACCGATGACCTTATAAACAGAGGACATTACGACGGACACACAAAGGGACCATGTGAGGACACAGGAAAAGGGCATCTGCAGGCCAATGAGAAGAACTCAACCTGCTGATGCCCTGACCTTGGACCTCTAGCCTCCAGAACCATAAGGAAATACACATCTGTTGTTCAAGCCGCCCCGTCTGTATGTAGTGTGTTACAGCGGCCAGAGCTTACTGATATGCTCTCCAGTGTCCACCATCCTCCAGGCAGCAAAGGCCCCACAGGCACAGTTGCTGGAAGACTGTTCTGGCCTTAGTTCCCCAACTACTGTCCCAGACCTGCTGGTGGCATGGCAGGAACCCCACACCCAGGCCTACTGGGACAAAAGCGAAGGTCCATCCCCAGAAAGGGCCACCTAGGGCAAAGCACTGAGCAAGGATGCACCAGTACCTGCCCCGCCTTTCACATCTACGGGCACCCCAACCCCAGCGGTGCCAAAGGTGGGGCAAGCCAGACCAACACACCCTGCATGGGGCCTGAGTCAAGACCTGCCCCTCCTGTTCGGGCCCACTTCCAAAAATAGCCGCTGCCAATTCTGGATGCTTACCACCCGAGTCTCAGAATGACAGGGTGGCAGATTATCACCCTGGCTGTATGGGAAGCAAAGGGACTGGAGAGGCTGAGCAGGCAGCCGGCAAAGAGGGCGGACTGCAGGGTGGCTGAAGCCCACAGCCACCTCTCCATCCCCACCCGGCTCAGCTCCGTGAGCAAAGGGGAGGAAGGGAGCCGCAGATGGGCGGGGAGGCTCCCTGCGTGAACACCACATCAGGACATGCACCGTCAGTCCACCTGCAAGGACCTATGTTTACAGTTCTTGCCTTCATCGACACTGAACAGACAATCCTCCCTCCTGTGAAAACCAAGCAGACCTTACCTGTCAGGCGCTCGCTCCAGCTGTCTGGCACACGCAGGCTTGACCCAAGGACCCAGGTGAGAGCCAGCTGCTGTTCTTGGTCACGGGGTGGCCACTCCCCACAGGGCCCTCCTCCAGCTCAGCATTGTGGGCAACTCCAAAGCTGAGAAGTCAAGAGAACATCACTGAACACGCTGAACTGGTACAAATGTGAATTTTAAGCTCTGCATCCAGGACTGAACTTTTAAAACAGAGAACAGAGTAATTTTTTTAGGGAGATAATTTAAAAGACTCTTCAAAGAACAGATCACAAAGAAGTCCACAAGAAGGAGGTTTCTAGTTGCTGTGTCAACTGATCACAGAAACACATGCCCACAGAGACCCGAAGAGCGAAGGGGCTCTGCCTGCCGGGGCCCGAGGCAAGCGGGTGTGGAACGCGCAGACTGGTGCCCTGTAGGGAGGCCCAGTTTACCTGTATTTCAGGCTTCAAGCCCACATTCTTCACGGGGTCCCCCCAGGCACCAACCCTCACCCCACCCACCAGGGGCCTTCCTCCATCACAGACCAGGTACCAGCCCCGCGGTGCAGACTCCACTGGGCACATACAGTGTTCTTCACATGGTGCACACATGGTCCACGGAAGGGGGACAGAAGAGTCTGACCTGTAGTTTGAAGTCTGGTTGTTTGCTCTGATTCATTTATCCAGCTCATATTTGCTGACGGCCTGAGGTGCCATTGTAGGCACGGAGGAGAGGGTGGGGTCCAAGACTAAAGCTATCGCGACAGGAAGTGCTTTTTAGGTAGCTAGGCAACTCCTGGTGTCCCTGACCCTGGCTCCTCTGCAGGGTGGCGGGAAGAAAGCCCACCTCCCTGAGGAGTTCATACATTCACACTGGAGTGCCACTGAACCTTTGTGCGTCTAAAGGAAATGCCCAGAGAGCAAGGGTTCCTGGTCAGCGTCTGCATCAATTGCCTTCCTGTGCATGAGCTCACCTTCTAACCTGCAACTGGAAGTCCTTGGTGGTAAAGGGGACAGATTCCTCACTGAAGTACTCATGAACTAACCTTCCTGATCATTCAACAGCAGAAATAACACCTGCCCCGCCACTGACCCACCATGGAAGGAGTCACGGTCTAGAACAACAGGTCCTGGGGGCATGCTGGCTAAGAATCAGGCGTGCAGGCAGAGAGCACTGGCTGTCTCCTGACACCACCCCATCTTAGCAGGTGACATCTGTGTGAATCACTGACTCATGGAGCCTCGGTGTCTCCGGCTCCAAGATCGACATGAAAATAGAATCTCCCTCTAAAGCTCTTAAAAGGATGAAATGAACTAATGCATGTGAAGACTTAGGACCCAACATACAGTAAATGGTAAACAAACACTAGTTGGCATTAATCGTGATGTGTCAAACCATTCTCCTACCATCCCCTGCAAACACATTAGCCACCTGCAAGCTTGCAGAGCCTGCTGACACTCGGAGGGTGCTGACCTTAGGAGCCAAGAAATGACACATGGCACTGCACGGGGCTGACTGCTCAAAGCTGAACACCACCTCACCAAGCTGCTGTCACCCTCTCAGAGAACTCGCAAGCCTGAAGAACATTATCATAACTATGTGGAGTGGAATGTCTTTAAATTCTAATAGCTTAATCGACCAAAAGTTAAAAACAAAATGAGATGGTCAACCAGTATGATGGTCTTTGAAATGACAATAGGCCACAATGTTGGGAAATGGACTTAGGGTCACATACAGACAGCATGACCTCTCTGAGTCCTTGTATCCTAACAGTCTCCCATCTTCTCCAGAGAACCTTCTCTTTCCCTGGATTCTGATCCAAGTGGCCCAGGATTACTTCCAAATGCACTTTGCATGCAAATGCCTTCAACTTCATATATGCTTGAGAGTTTGCTTTTTAAATGGGCAAAATAAATAAATCCTAATTAAAGAAAAATAACATAGTTGCCTGACAAGCTAGTCACCACTTCAACCATTTCTGTCTATTTTTACCACAGCGAACACTGAGCTTCTCAGTAGAAAAAAACAAAGATGAGATGACTTTTGAACTTGATGAACTGAAGATTCAGTACCTCCTCACGGCCAGCAGGACCAATCAGCACACCCAGCATAGCGAGCTACAAACATCTAGGTGTTGTTTACAACCGCCCACCAACACCCCAGCGCAGACCGACAAACCTCCTTCACTGGGCTGGCCGTCTGCTGGCACCTGCGGAGCACATGGAGCTCTCTGTGCCAGTCACCCACCGATCAAAACAGCACCTCTCAGCAGTTTTACATTTGCACACAACACAGGCTTGAGATCTTAAACAACATATGAACTTGGGCGAAAAATACCTGTCTTACTTCCAAAATATTTCAGAAACAAAGGACCTCTTGATTCCTGTTTAGTATCTTTGATATCTTCCAAAAATTCCTGAGTTAATATAAAGTTTTCCTTCTGTCTAGTTTGCTCACACTAAATATTTAGAGAAATAACAGTTGACTATTTAGACACTCAACAAATCCCAACTTTCATGATGAGGAGGTTCAGCCTGTGCAGCCAGAAAGCTCTGGAATGAAGTCCTGGTTTTCTCCAAAGGGGACAGAATACCCTTAATTTAAAAAAACTAGATTCAATATTGTAGTGATCAGAGACCACGGTTTTCATAGAATATGTAGGCTGTTACAAAGACAAAGTGAGAAACATGTGAATGAAATGGAATTGGATAAAGGGCATATTTTTTAAGTAATTATAAAATTTCAGAATGCTAAGCCAGAACTGTGTACAGCTTGAGAGAGAATGGACAGCAAGATGAAATGCCACAATTCATGTCATTTGGATCAGGTGCACTGCAGGCCAGGACCTGCCACTCCAGCAGCCATTACCTTCCTGGTAGGGATGATAGAACGTGAGGTCAAAGGACACAGGCAGCAGAAGGAAGACGCGGAACATCCCCACTCAAACGCCAACATCATTCTTTCAAACCACAAACACACAGGAAACCTTCAGCAGTGACTTTCTGGCCCAAGCTCAGGAAGCCCTCTCCTTCGGGGCCCATCTGCCAGCAGCTGGGGGGCTGCTCAGAGATGGCAAGCATGGGGGACAGAGTGTCCCTTCCAGAAAGTGCTCCCAGCAGGCTGCCATTGTGGAAACTGACAAAACCAAAATGCTTGAATGGGTGCAGCCCCTCCTCGTTCTCAATACCAGAGTCGAGCAGAACCAAGGATCCTATCAGTGCTTGCCCTGGGCCTTCCAGGATCCCCCAGGCAGCCCCCAGGAGCGGCCATCCAAGGGAAACCTGCCCAAGGCCACAGACTAGGGAGGACTGAGACAAGGGGTGGCCTACTTGAGAGGCAGAGCACTGCCCCTGCCAGCTAGTCCTAGACAGCAGAGCGCGAGGGACAGGGTGCACACACACACAGACAGTGACTGACCAGAGGACAGACGGAAACACCCCTTTCCACGGCTGATATCTGTACTTGCACATCTGAGTCCGAAGAACAGCCCTACACAAACTAAGTATCACACCTACGAGAGACGTAAAAGACCCGGATGAACCCAAACAGGCTAAGTTCCTAACAGGAAGATTAAACATAATATCAAAGACAGTGATTCTCTTAAAAGTGGTTACTATGAAAGTTAACATTAATTTTGTGAATGAAATGCAGTATCAATCTAGATTCATTAGAACTGACAAAGTAAAATAAATGGTAATACTCCCTCTCAACTGTAGAGCATTAAGAGAGAATTACTCTCATCACATACTAAAACATTATAAAACAAAAGTAGTTAAAATAGTGTGGTACAGGCACAGAAATCCATGCGAGTGCTCATCCACAAAGGCGAGGTTTGCAAATACAAATGTCAGTATTTTCATCGTAGCTCCACATGCTACACAAACTCTCCTAGCACAATACCTAATACTCCATGATCACACTCCCACAACCCAGGACACAGGATGCTCGGGACTGGAATCAGGGCTTCCCACCTTTCCTAACTCTCCCAGCAATGCCCCCCAAGGTCACGGTGACAACAGTGATGACTACAGAAACGGCCATGACAGCCACCCCTGACTGACAATCTATCATACATCAGACATCTCATAAAACTCTCTACAACCTCTCAGCTAAGGGGTTTTTGAAGATTAAATTCAAAGGAATAAATGCATGTGAGACACATATTAAAACACGCAAAGATTAGCAGTTCTTAGTTAAAAACAAACATTGTCATTATTTGGGGTACAATCATCATCCCATTTTATGGGTCAAGAAATAGAGTCTGGGAGACAGTGAGGAACTCCCAAGGGCACACACAAATGATAAATGGAAGAGCCAAGATCCAAATCACCACTACCTCTTTATGTTGTTGATAAAGTATTATTTGTACGATAAGAAAAGATAACAGAAAATTTTCGCGTGATTTTGTAAGGTTTCTCTTCATTTTTGTTCTTTCAATCACACTTTTGGAGCACGGTCTATCATTCTCTTTTGGAGAAGAAAAGAGCCAAAAATAAGAGCCATGGAGGTGACAGCCCAGACCTGCCCCAAGAGAAGCTGCCTCCATAGGCCTCAATGTCAATGTAAAATGAGAGTAAGACCATCCAATGTCATGCATGGATGCAATTCCCAAAAAGAGCTTTCCACGGCCTAGCAGAAGGTAGCACCTGATGAATACTGCTGCCTAAGATGAATTGGGAAAGAGCTACAGAGAAAGGAGATACCTGTGTAAAGGGGGAAGTGACTTGTGCGCAGGCAACAACCCCGCACGGCAGAGGGCCCGCAGCCCCGGGACGGAGCCAGCGTGAGTGGGCACTCTCCTCCACACACATCTGGGTTTGTGCATAGAGTAAGGCACATGAATTACTTCCCTATTTAGAATTTACCTTTGTAGTAAGAGGCATTTTCACCAAGTTCTAGGCCAGAGGTCCCGTTTGCTTCCTGCCCTTCCTACTCAGCACCCAAATCTCCACAGCCAGTTGCTGTGACTCTCCTCCTGTCCCAGGCTGGCTCCCCTTTCTCGGAATCCCAGAGAAATCACTGCTCTATACCTACAACGAGGCACTGGGTGGTTCAGGCCCAGGAACACAGCTGCCCAGACACTTGTTCTCAACAGACTGTTTCTGGAAACGTGGAGGTACTTTCCCATTTTCTTTTCCTTCCT